GTTTTAATTCTAATAAATTCCCCATATTTTATTTGTTATGTGTAGCTATACTATATATGCAAAGTGTTGCATGTTATTTAATATTTCATTGTTTATTCTTATGAAATACTAATTATACCCTACGACACTATACTATAAGTTTGATTGGGCCAACAATTATGTAACACCTCGAAATATTGGTTTCCCACAGAGGAAAGTATATATGGATCTCCCTATCTCGCCGAGCTGAGTCGATCTAGCTATGTATGTCCGTCCGTCCGTCTGTCCATGTTAATTTGTAATCACTCTACAGGTCGCAATTATGGCCCGATCTTCATGAAATTTAGAATGGAGGTGAGGATAGGGCCAGATTAGATCCATATTGCTCTTGGATATGATCGCATAATATCTAGGGGTTGAAATAAAGTTGAAACAAAAACTGAAAATTTTCCTGATTTTGCAGCTGCTCTCCAGATCGCAATTATAGACCAGTTAGCATGGTTCTAGAGCTTAGGGCTGGGCAGAAGCCTTCCAATATTGATGGTCATCGGGTAATATTTAGTGGGTGAAATAGGTCATAACATTTGTGCTAAATTAAAGTCAAATTTTCCATTAAACCGAGTGAAATCACAAATAGACGAACAGGTCAATCCTGACCGTTACGTAGATTCCGATAGTAAATATATCGGATATATATAGCGAAATATATACAATACATATATACAAAGGAAGAGGATGTTAGCTAAAATGTTTATATCTCAAGAATGGCCGATTTTGACAAATTTTGTCAATTCGGTATGCCCTCTTGGTATAAAAGTATAAAATCTAAAAAATCGCATAAAAAGATGCCAGTAATGATGTTAATATAGATTTTGTAGTATTTTGTGACATTTTTATATATTTTTTTTATCGCATGCGATTTTTTCAATTTGACTTATAATATTGAAGTGTATATTTTGTAATATTTTTTCACCTTACAACACAGGCTGGGGTAATTATGTATATACAGATTGCATTTATCGTCCAATCCTCACGAAAATTTTCACAAAGGTAGGATTAGGCTCAGAAGGGCTAGGCCTATTGTTTTAAAAGATGCCCGCAATATATTTAGGGATTGAAATGGACAAACAACTAAAAATGTTCTTTATTTTGCAACCGTTATAAAGGTCACAAATAGAAACCAAAGGACATGAAATATCGCATGAAGTTAGAGTTTAGGACAGCGGGTAGAATGGGCCACTACTTTTGTGTGAAAAAATATCAGCATTACTTACAGGCCATATCCGAAATACACAAAAGGCGAACTTCTGGCTTTTTTATGCTCATTCCGTTGACAGAAATATGAGCTATAGATGAGTCTAAGTTTGGAGATACAGAGGAACCTCTTGCTTTTGGAGATGATCGCAAAATATTAGGAGTTGAAATGAACCAGAAAAAATTTCCTGATCACACAATTGAAGTCAATCGACACGCCTGAGAAGAGATTTAAGGACAGGGAAGAATTCTAGCATTTTGCATGACCATTCGATTATATATAACTGTAAAATGGACCACAACAACTAACAGCACGACGGAGTGCGTAAATATAGGGCAAATGTCACTAGTTAAAAGGATAATGATAATATCTGGCTCTCTGGTGCTCCGTGATATAATTTCAAAAGCGAAATCTTTCAAAATGGATTTGGACATAAGGGGGCTTCTAACAAATTGTAGTGTTGTAGGGTATCATATGGTCGGCTCCGCACGACTATAGCCTTTGCTTACTTGTTTATTTTACAAATAGTAAATGGTTAATTAATTTTAAAATTATTGAAACAAATAGATGAGTTCCATGCCATTATCGATTTATCGAAGTGTCAAAACTTTTCGGGAACCATTTAAAATTAACATAGAATTCATTTCATGGTACAATAACATTAAATTAAATTTTCGTATTAAAGATTTACTCGATATTCGGGTACGTGGACGTTTGTCTGGCAAAAAGTTGTCAAAATTCTAAATGTAGTGGATTTTTGGTCGTTCTGATTTTAAAATATAATATTGATACCACAACATGGGCATTATATCTGACTTTTAAAATGCGCAAGCAATATAAATGTGATTTATTCCACTTCAATTTGGGTTTAAAATTCCAAATCAGGCATTTAAATTCATTTTAATTACAATACTTTTTTTAAAGATATTGATTTGAGTAAAAGTATATCATAATAAAATGTTGCGTCATATGCATGTAAAATGTTATTAAAAAATAAAAATGAATCGCCGTTTGACGATGTATGTGTATAATGTTATCGACTCTTCCGATTTCATATTACTCCTTCGTCTTCTTTAAATTGTGCGTATAAGAAGTTGCGTAAATTGTAATAACTTTGTTTTGTATCATTTTTTATAGTTTCTGATAGGTACTACGTTGCAATAACATTATATTTTTTTGTAGTATGTTTGTATGTATGTATGTTTTTATGTATGTATGTAAGTTCAGGTGACCTCTTTTTGTCGCCGTTACAAGCTTTCCAAAACGTTATTTCCTTTATAAAGTTAATCTTATATTCTAAATATTCCGTTTTGTAACTAACGCATCGTAAGTAGCATTTGTTTAATATTTTATTGTTAGAGTATAAAATTTGGATGTGAATGTTTCAAAAACTAAGTTCTTTGTTGTGAATATTTATGGAGGAGTTTAACCCGAATATGTATTTTTTTGTTGTTTAGTTTTAATGCAGTTGGTTTTAACATTTTAGAAAATATAAATAATTAATGCACATATTCGTATTTCATATGAATATATTTCATGCATTTATTGTTTGGCTTAGGAACATCAAACGTAGTTTTAGATGTCCTTGTAGTCGACAAAAGTTTTTTTTTTGTTGTGTTGTTTTCATTCTTGGAACAAACTAATTCTAAAACACGTAAATGAGAGCATACATATAAATTTTCAATTACACCTGCTTAACATATTCAATAAGAATTATATCACTTGGAAAGCAATATTAACAACCGACGATAATATTGAATTCGATCATAGTTTTTAGTTAACTTGCCATTGAATGTTTACACACTTCCTAAAGATACAATTTATAAAAGTGAGAAACTATACTCTAACCTAAAGCTTCAATAAGCCTTATTTTAAAACCCTATGTTGGGTTGTTAAAGAAGAGAAAAACAATCTTCGATTTGGAAGATAATCTCGAAACGTTGCTAATACCCGTAATAAGAAAACATATTTTTTAATATAATCAGAAAATAGATGTTATCAGATCAAAATATTTATTTACGAAAAAATTTGGCTTTTACTCCATGATAACGTTCAGAATTGTGGGTATGCCCCACTGAGTAATTTTTTTGTTCCCGAGATTAAAGTCACTGTTAAAGTGCTTTAGCATAGACTAATCAAAATATTGACGAAGTAATGCTCTCACCGCTTATCTCCGAAAAAAAAATCGGATCAGCAGGTGTCTTCCATGTCGTTTCAGGGGTATGAGTGGAAATATTGAAAACACTCAATTTTAATATGTTAAATATATCAACAACTGTAGGATATTTATAAGTTGATATGACATATAAAAATACGGCAATAATTATATGATGTTCTTGAAAAACGGTGAAATGTGTTTCGAAGACTATGCAAAAACGTGCTGAGAGCCACCTATATAAAAACTTACTGGTTTTTATATAGGTTATAAGCATTATATGGATGCTATACGAAGACGTGGATCCCCATAAGTATTTTGTATCTGTTCCGAAATTTATATACGAAATTTGAAACTATTCCGGTGAATAACTTCGCAAAAATCATCAAAATGCCGTATATCGGAAGGAACCGTTATATAGGAGATCATATATCTCCTATATATAGATAATTGTCTTCCAGGGGATGGAGTACTCACAAGGACCTCCTTGTGTGAACTTTCAATTCAGTTGAAAAATGTGGCTAAAATCCCCCAATATCGTTGGGTACCGTTATATGGGGAATATATTATATCGTGCACCGATATAGCCCATCTTCGAACAATAAAAACTAAAATAACTAAATAACTTTTATCGAATTCTTTTCCCTCTTTACTTGTGTATTGATGAAAAAGTCAGTTAGTAGTAAGTCACCAAATCAATAGCTATTGGAGATAAATCGGATAGGATCGGATCACACATACTTAATATAAAATATTCTTGGCAATTTTTACAAATTGCAGAAAAATCCCATTGAATATGTTGTAAATTGTAAACATCATCACAAATATGACATTCGAATTCTTCAAAAACAATTTTTTCTAGACATTATTTGTTCCAAAAGAAATTTCTTCACAAAATTTCCTATTTTTGTTATTTTTTTCAACAATTATGAAATTTGTTGTATTCGTTTTGTTTTACATATTAAATTGAAGTAAAAGTGTTCTGTTTTCTGTTGGATTAATTTATAATTAATTTTAAGTGTAAAGTATAAAAAATGTTATGGACTTAAATGTTAAATCTAAATAGTTGCTTGATGTTTGTTTTCCATTTCTTTCCAAATTTTCCAAATATAAAAAAATTATCTTAAATTTAATATATTTATTTGAGTTTTAAGTTCTTTGTTGTTATTTCATATATTTTTTGGTTACCAAAAAAATGTTATTTAATTATTATTAATATGTGCGCGTAGAATTAATTTGTTAAAGTGACAAAGAATTATTTTATTAATTAATTAATTACAAGCTAAGTTGTTGATGTTTTTGTTAGTCATACAAAATTTACTCTTTATTTTTTTTTTGCCAAAAGGTTACATTTTTAGATTCTTGCCCCTTTCCCATTTTCTTCTTGAAATGGAGGAGAAAATAATTTTGATTATTTTTATTTATTCAGTTTTTTTTTTGTTTTGCTAAAAAAGTTCATTTTGTTTTCCTTGTAAAAATTACAAATATTTTTGTTGTACAATTATGTAGGTGTATGTGTGACAATGTGTGTGTGCGAGTGCAGTATAGCTTTACGCACCACTTACCAAAAAAATTATTTTTGTCATAAACATCTGATATCAAATGCTTATGTTTTGTATTTCTCTTTTTTTTTGACCACAAAAATGTTGATTCGAAAAAAGTTAATTATTAATAGAATTGGATTTTGATTGTGACGCAGGCAAGTGTACATTGGTGTGTATGTATCAATGGGAGACAAGGGACAAGGGTTTTACACGTCTAAACAAAATCCAATTCAAGGCCAGTCTCTATATCAACAGCCACAACGTCTGGTTTTGCTGCTGCATCATCGTCATCCTTGGACTTTTTACTTTTGGACTTATCTTTCATTGTGGCGAACGAGGCCAGCAAACCCAGGCCACTGCCACGTCTGGAAGATTGTCCCAACTGTTCGAATCAGGAATCGACAAGGACATGCCATCGTGCCAGCAGCTCACCTTTGGCCATATCACGCATATCCACCCAGTGGGCCACCTCTTCGGGGCCCGATGAATTAAGGCCCAAGCTAAACCAACCAACCATTTCGTTCTTCTTCATATTACGCTTAGCGTAAACGGAAACCATTAACGTCACATCGTTCAGTTGAAACAAGGCCACCTGCAATTAATAAAAACGATCTATATGTTGCAAATCGAATAATAATGGAGTTTTCTGGACATTACCTGAAATACAAATGTCTCTTTAAACAGAGGATTTGGTTGGCCACGTCTCGTTGATGTTTTCGCTCTGGATATCTCTTGTCCTATACTACTAACTAAGCATAACTTAACATATGTATCTGGCGCCTTGTTAATGGACAGCGTTCGAAACTGACTTCCCTTGACAATTTCAACGGTTAATCGTCCTGTGGTACCATTATAACCTAAACCTAAAAGTAGCTCGGGTACACCTCCATGTTGCATTGAAGTGGTCGAGCCGGCACTATCGGAACGGGCTAAACTTAATAGATCACTGGATGATCCCAAAATCTGAAACGAAATGAAGACATGTGTTATTATTTGAAGATTAAAAAAGATGCTAAGTTTAACCGGGCCGAACTTTTAATATCGAATATCGGACGGTAGTTTTCATATAGACCTCATATAGTCTATATGAAAACGCGAACATGTATAGTCAATTACCTACCAGAGAAGGCGGTATATATTGCGAACTCTAAATACATATATTGAGATAATTCCGCTGAAAAATATGGCTCAATTCGCCAAAATACCGAATATCGGATGATACTATTGTAAGGGGGACAAACGGCCCACATGTTGACCTTTAGAGGTAATTTTCTGTCATAGGACGTGGTTCTTATTATGAACTCCAAATAGCAAATCTTAAAAAATTCCGTCGAAAAAATCATCAATGTACGTATTATAGGTAGATACAAATATATGATGGATACACAACAAGGTGAGCCTATGTAGATAATTTCCTACCAGAAAAAATTGTAACTGTTTTCAATACCAAATAACAATTTGGAAATAATTTCATTGAACAATGCCGCCAGTGCTTCGGTCAGAAGTATTGCACAAATCATCAAAATACTGAATATGTGGGTGTACAGTTATATATGATCTACACCAACACTTTGATGTCTATGGATAGTTCTATGCAAAACAAACCTAAATTCCTTTCAAAATTGTGTCTTAAACACCTCAAAAAACTTTAAATCTGCCGGTACAGGTATTTGAAGGCTATACCAAAATAATTTATTTCTGTTCGCCTACTGGTCCCCCTTTGGAAGCTAGAGTGATTTCCACAGACGGACGGACAAACAGACAGTCGGATGGGCGGACATGGCTAAGAATCTTATTCTGTTAAGAAACATATACACTTCGTAGGGTCTAAAATGCTTATTTCGATGAGTTACAAATGGAATAAAAAACCTAATAGTACCTCTATGGCATTGTGGATGAAAAACGTACTACTTCTTCAATGATATTCGGAACCTATAACGGGTTCAGGGGCACTTTCGATAAAAAGGATGTATACGCTGGCTGAACACATTTATACCGCTGACGATTTCAAATACGTCGCGACAGATACACTTCTTAGAAAATTTCTTGGACCGGGCCCTCAGATAAATTGTTGACGTAAAAATAGGGTAATGCCACAGGGAAGGATTTTAATGCCATACAAAGTCTATTAAGGATTTGAACCAGTCTGCTATGCAGACGACGTTATAATACTTCTGAGTGGAAAGAAAACTACAATGTTTTGCAAAAGGGCCGAGTCGGCTCTAAAACTTGCATACAACTGGGCTAGACCATAAGGTCTAAACGTAAAAAAATAGAGATATGTCTTTTCATTGGAAAATTGGGGCAATTCGATAAACCTAAGCTAATATAGCACCACATGCTGGGGATATTTAGGGTGAGATGAAAAAACTGCAAACAACTTTAGACTGCTGTCATTTCTAAGCCACTCGTCCGACAGATATTAAAATTATTCCAGTTACTGGAAAACCATAAGTGGCTATCGTTACAGCATTTATATGTGAATAAATCTTTTGTGTCTCATACCAACGCTCGTTACCATGATATTGGTAGCGTAGCCCAAAGTCAAGGAAGTGGACGGAAAAAACAGCAACATCGGCAGAAATGGTTCGAAAAGGTAAAGAAGCGACTTGATCGAAACCCACGTCGCAGTGGCCGAAAAATGGCTTGTGAGCTAAACATATCGCATTATTCCATTCGTGGTAAAGCCATTGAAATTCCACAACAGAAAGAAAACGACCCAAAAGAGCTGTAGAGTTGCTTAGCTTGGCCGGAATTGGTGGACTGCTGAATTTGAATTTGAAAATTATGGCGTAGTCAAAATTAGTGGCATATGACAGTTATGGATAAAAAAATAAGATTAAAATATTACAGGCCTGTACTGGCTTAAGTGTATGTCTACAAGGATATTTGGCGATATTTCGCCTCCCTTTTTCCCTCTAACGCGTTTAGAGGGAACTTAAATTTCAAGTCAGTGGAAATTTATATAATAATGTTATACGCCCTTCGGTTTCTGGTAATACCAGCACAAACGGCCAAAACTTAAACATCGAACATCACAAAATTCCCCCTAAAACCGTCTTCGGAAAATAATTCTTTTTTTGTTATAGTCACTTGACTATTCATAGGTCCACCTTTTCAGTGCATCGCCCATTAACAATATATTCAATGAGTGTCGACGATCTTGAGATGATGAGATAGATATGTTCGACTTATGTGAGAGTTATTTTAGAACTTACCGATGATGTATTTCTTGGCTCCAATGGAAGCCATAGATTTGTTTCTAATTCCAAATCTATGGTAGCAAAGCTAACATATGCTTCACCGATCAGTCGTTCTTTGCGCAAACGTTCGCAGCCATACAAACGTACACGCAGGCCCATATTATTCACCTCTTCGGGTGTAACACGATGCAGCAGGAAACTCTCCATATATTGGGGATTCTCGCCCGATCGTATTTTGGTCTTGTGTTTCTGTTTCTTATTAGGTAGCATAAGAAGGCGCACTTGCGTGTGACACTGTTGGCCATTGCCCAATGTGGGTAGACCACGGGCCTGAAAGGAGAAATAAGAATTAGAATGCTGTAAAAAATATCGAGTTTGACCTTGTACCTGTAATACATGCACCGTCATCTTGCGCATGGGTGCATCGTACAAAAGCGAAATCTCAATACTGCCCGATTTGCCATAACACTGGGTCTGAAGTGAGATATCATCGGATTTAATTGATCTTAAATCGCTGGTATCAAATAAAGGTTCCTGTAAGCAGCATTAAAATTAGATCGCATGTATCATGAGAATAGTGGAATTCTGAAATCTTACATCTTCATTGTTGTTATTATTGTTGTTGCTGGTGGTGGTGTTGTTACTAGTTTGTGTATTGTTGTTGCATGCTTGTACAGTGGACACTTCCTCCAAACTTCCTTGGCGTGGTGGCGTTGTTGCATTTGAACTTGTTGTTGTTGCTGTTGTTAGTTTCTGATATTTTGTTGTTTTTATTGGTTCTGCATTTAGATCAATGCGTGACTCTTTCAGCGAAGCACTCTGTGATATATCGGAAGTCTTACTAATCGAAGCATGTCGTTCTGCAATTGAAATGATAGCATTAGTTTGTGTATATACATTGAATATAGCAGTCTACCGACGATCTCATGGCCTACACTTCAAAATATGTTGATTTTGCAAAGTTTTTCTTTAGATTAATAAAAAATATTTCGAAACGAACGTTTACAACCATGCCAAATAAAATATACCTCAACTCAATACGTCCTGGTAGGTATCTTAAGGATTTAGACATGTGAATGATTAGAACATGCCTGTCTTGCCGATTATGTTATATTACTCCAGTAAAAACCGATTTCAAATAGGTAATACTAGGGGATTAAATGATAATCTGGAAGGCGGTTATTATGAAAAACAGTCTTCTGGAAAAAGACAAGACTTGAAAGATATTGTTATCCAAAGATGCGTGCAGTATCCCGTTCCCACGGGAAAGCATTTTCGCCTAAATGCAGAGAGATTACTAAGTATTTTTTACTGGAAAATTGTCGCATGTACATATTGTAACAGTGCAACCAATATAAGTAAATTCAGAGCAAAGGTTAAACCACTCTCCAACTATCGTCTCAGATCACGAAATATGTGTAGTAAATTTTCATAGCCTGGTGTTGAGTATGTCATTAAATTTCTTACTTATTGCGGGACACCCCCTTCATTTTAAAAGCTTGGAAAGGTATGATCTCGCTACTGAAGGCAGTAGCGAAGACTCTTTTGGTATTACTCCTCTCCACAATCTCGATTGTCAACATGTCAGTAATAAAACACCACAGCAACGTTAAACGTCGTATCCCTATGCTTTAGTTGAGAACTTTTCCAGGACAGGTGGGATCATAAAAAAGTTTTGGTAGTACCTAGTTTATCAAAGGTTTCGAGGATAGCGAAAATATTTTATTTTTTTATATAGACGCCTGTCATACGTTAAATTTTTAAATAAAACATTCGAGCTTCAAAACTTCAGTGGTTTTCAAGAATTTACGCATGCATAAAATTTTATTTTCCAACTATAATATATATGATCATTAAATCAATTTCCTCAGTCTCATCTTCTTAAATTGGCCTGGTCTTCAAATAAAAAATTCGCAAATATACATATGGTCATACGTTACCTTTCTTTTCGCCACTAATTATTCCTGTGTGACTATCAATTGATGCCTCTACGGAATCATTTGAACTGCATTCACTGTGTGACGATGGTATGCCAACTTTACCACGTTCCGCTATGGCCAATGGATCTTTCGAAGAATCCCTCGGTGTTACAGTGACACGTTGTAGATCACTATTAAAATAATTGAAATTTTGTGACAATGGATTTAATTGATTGATGCCATAGTTGGTGAAACTTCCGCTCCCTCTTCCAGACGAAGCAATGCGCGCCTGTTGTAAACGTAATCTTCTTAAAATATCCTCCTCCGAATCGGAACTTGTGTTATCGTAGCGACGTTTTCTTGCTAAAATTGCAAAGAATTAAGTGTTTGACATTGAAAACAATTCAACAGTATAAAAAATTATAATTCTACTTACATAGTTTCTGTACACATTTTGATGCCAAATGTTTCTCATCGCAACAGTGCAATCCTCGACGGGCATGAAAACACCATTTTCGATTAACATACAGAAAAAACAATAGCATTAAAGCTATTACACCAAATACAGCAGACAATACTGTAGTAATTTCAACAGTTCCTGTAGGAGAGGGGAGAAAAAGATTATTTGGCAAAAGCAAAATGAAGTTATATTTTAATTAATCTTTAATTTAAAGTCAATATAAATGTTTTAAGTTCTAACGGACAAAGTTATTTATGATCTTCAACATTAAGTACTGGGGTAATATAATTAGAATGTTACTATTATTGCTTAACGTATCAATCTATCTATCTTCTTCTTCTATATCTATAGGAGAGGAAACTGTTTGTACGTTTGATTGTCTGTTTGTTTGTAATTTATAGAATCAAAAAGTGCTGAACAGATGTTTCTTAAAAATTCCAAAAAAATCGTCAAATGCCACAATTTTTACGTTTTTTTACGCTGAATCCTCGGAATGTCCAAGGTCTGCGGCAAAAAGTTTTGCGTGTCCAAGGCTTTAGTACACCCTCCAGAATATTCTAGCGATAATATTCGGCATATATAAAAGTGTGTTAGGTTAGTGACTACGCTTATAACTCAAGAACGGCTGGTCTGATTTTGACAATTAACACCAAATAGGCTGATATCAAAACGTGGACCTATTTCTTTCATATGGGTCATATCGGTCCATATTTTGGTATAATCCCCATGTGAGGGTATTCCCGATTTCAAGAATTTTTTTATATTGTAGCCATATTTTTTATACCCACCACCATACATAGTATGGAGGATACATTAAGTTCATCATTCCGTTTGTAGCTCATCGAAATAATCATTTTAGACCCAACAAAGTGTATATATTCTTGATCAGAGTAAAATTCTAAGACGACGTAGCCCTGTTCGTCCGTCCGTCTCTTATAATCACGAATAAAGACAGGAAGCTACAATTTTGCACAGATCAGCCTTTTGTGTGCAGGCAGGTGAAGTTTGAAGATGGGTTATATTGGTTTAGCATATTGTATGGCCATATTGTACGGTACCCTCCGATATTCGGCATTAAGAACATTTTTTTATGGAATTGTCTAAAAATTCTACACAAGTAATTTTTTGTGGGTACTTTACCGCCTGTAAGAGAATTGTCTTTATATGTCCACGATATCGTATATCCCCCATATAACGGACCTCCCGATATTCGGTATTTTGATGATTGTAGCCATATTTTTCAATAGAATTGTCTGAAAATCCACACAAGGAGTTCCTTCTGAGTACTTTACCCCCTGGAAGAGAATATGGGTCCTCGATATTGTATAGCCCCAATATAACGGCACACCCCGATATTCGGGATCTTGATGATCTTAGCGACATCACCGGAATTATTTCAAATTTTGTATTTTGTATTTGAAGCTCGTAATGAGTACTACAACCTATGCCAGAAAATTGTCTATGAAGGTCCACGTCTTCTTATAGCCTACATATAACGATACCTCCCTTTATTTGATGTTTTGATGATATTAGAAACTTTATTCACCGGAATTTTTTGATGATATTAGCGACATTATTCAATGGAAATGTATCAAATTTCGTATTTGAAGTTCGGAATATATATATATATATATATATATATATATATATATATATATATATATATATATATATATATATATATATATATATACATATATATATATATATATATATATATATATATATATATATATATATATATATATATATATATATATATTCTTGATCAGCATAAAATTCTATGTCGATTTAGCAATGTCTGTCGTCTATCCGTCTATATAAATCACTCTAGCTTCCGAACGAATTGAAGTATATTGATAAAATTTTACTCAAATGTATATTATGTCTGCAGGACTTTTGGTATTGAAAATGGGCCATATAGGTCCACGTTTTGGTAAGCCCCCATATAACGGTACTTCCCGATATTCGGTATTTTGTTGATTTTAGCGACATTATTCGCCGGAATTGTTTCAAATTTGGTATTTGATGTTCGTAATGGATACTACAGACTAAGACAGAAAATTGTCTGTGCAGGTCCATGTCTTTGTATAGCCCCCATATAACGGTACCTTTCAATGTTCGGTATTTTGATGATTTTAGCGTCATTATTCACCGGAGTAGTTTCAAATTACGTCTTTAGAGTTCGTAATGTGACAGAAAATTTTCTATGCAGGTCCAGGTCTTCGTATAGACCCCATATATCAGCACCTACCTATATTCCGTATTTTGACGTTATTAGGTACAATACTCAACGAATTGTTTGAGATGTCGTATTTGAGGTTCGTAATGGATGCTACAGACTAGGACCGAAAATTGTCTATGCAGGTCCAGGTCTTCGTATAGCTCCGATATAACGGTACCTCCTTATATACAGTATTTTTATGGTTTTAGCTACATTATTCAAAGTTTATTTCAAGTTTCGAATTTGAATATGGTAATAGCTTATGAAAAACAAACCTATATAGGACCACGTCGTATAGGCCCCAAATAATAAGGGATATATTCGGCATTTTTAAGATTTTAACAGAATTTTTAACGGATTTTATGTTTTGAAAATTTTCAAATTCGTTCCAAATGGTGGAGGGTATTTAACTACTGCTTATTAACTTGTAACTTCTTGAACTTTATTTCGGCAATTTTGTAATTTTAGAAAGAAAAAAACATCCCTTCACTTTTGGTATAACCCTCATATGAAAGCATCCTCTGATTTTTGCTATTTCCGGGATCATGGTCCCATTTTTTTTTGATTTGGCATCCTTGGTGGGTAGAAAACCTTAAGGCAGAAAATATTCATTGTGGATCAATGTAGCGTCCATATAACGGTACCTCCGGATTTTACCTATTTCAGGGCATTTTCCAATCGATTTGGCTAAAAATGTGTATTTAGGCTACTTCAGGAGTAGCGAACCATTTTACGAAAATTTTTAACACAGGTAAATATACACCACAGTTTCAAACTAAATATCTAAAAATTCGGCATTTATCAGGCATGTCACAGAATGTAAAATCGTTCAAGAGTGAAAACGAAAACGGTTTTAGCTTCTCTAAAAAACGGAAAACGCAAAAATTTTGCGTTTTGATATCACTTTCAAAAAGCAGGGTGAAATTGAAATGTTTAGCGATTTTAAGGTAAAAAATAAACAGAAGACACATACATTTAACAGAAAATATTGTATTAACCAAATTCTCTTAGAATGAACATGTTTTTGGAATTTATTTTACAAAAAATCTATTATTTTTCTAATCCATGATGAAAAATAATAAAAAGGACTTGCGAGGAACTGGTGGTGGTGATATCAATAAATATGTTTTCAGTGAACACGAGAACAGTTTAATCAGAATTTGCGGATTGTATAAAAGTGTCGATGGAGTTGGTGGTGCAGTAAGCTTTGCGGATTTTGTAAGTGAATTAGACCTCAGTTGTTCTGAAAAAGAAAACTTTGATTCGTCATCATCTACACATATTCCAAGAACTCGAAAATCAAGTCAATAAGTTTTAAGTGAATCTGAAAACGAAGAGCTTAATTTTTCACCCTCAACTTCAAAGCAGACCACTTCGATTTTAAATAAAAAAGATAGACCAAGATCATGCATTCCAGCTGCTTTTAAAAATGTTTCTACATTGGCAATTGATCCAAGAACACCAACAAACTTTGAAGAAAACCGTTCGCGAACACCTATTCAAAAACGACTTAGAAATAAAAGCTTATCGTGTTCTCCGCCATCTACACCAATAAGACAAGTGTCGGGCAGCCTAACAAAAGCAAAACCCACGCCTGAAGTAAAAAGACCCCGGGCAAGAACTCCCTCAAAGCAAGATCTAAATGCGCTTTTAGTTGAGGAAAATTCTCATTTTCAAAACTTGGAAAAAATTTGTAAAATTCTAGAAGATAACAGTAAGGAAATGAAAAACAAATTGAAAAGTTAGACAGACTTTGTAACATCCTGGAAAAAAAGGATTTTTGTAAACAAAGTACAGGTTGCATTTATTGCCCGATCCAGATGAAATTTTGCAAAGATCTTTTGTTTGGCACAAGGACGAATCCTATTGAAATTGGAGCTAATCGGTCAAAATTTAGATATAGCTCCCATATATATCTTCGTCCGTCTTCGTCCTTTTATTGTGCACCAAACGTGTAATATCAGTCCGAATAGTATGGAATTTTGCACAACCAAATTAGGCCTGAAAATAAGTATGCCAAATTTGATCGAAATCGGTTCAGATATAGCTATAGCTACCATATATATTGTTCATCCGATATGTTATTTTTGTCCTCCGCAGCCGTAATATGGACTCTGTAACAACAATATTTGGGGAAATATATCAAATACAGCTCAGAAATACCTTTGCTAAATTTTATCGAGATCGGTTCAGATTTGGATATAGCTCCCATATATAACTTCGTCCGATTTACCTTTCATTGTACACCAATCTTCTAATATTTGCCCAAATAGGATGGAATTTGGCACATACGACCGAATCGAGTCTAGAATGTAGTATGCCAAATTTGATGATCGGTTCAGATATAGCTATAGCTCCCATATAGATTGTTCATCCGATTTGTTGTATTTGTTACCCACAGCCGTAATATGCACTCCGTAACTATCTTATTCAGGGAAATATATCAAATACAGCTCAGAAATATCTTTGCTAAATTTTATCGAGATCAGATTTGGATATAGCTCCCATATATATCTTTATCTAATTTCAAATTAATTTTGCACCAAATGGGCAATACAAGTCCGAATTTAAAAGATACAAATGCTTCGGCATATTTAGTCCTTTGAATTTTAAATTATAATTATAATCATAGCGTGTATGATTGAATGCTCCCATAAAAACTTTTAATTGTTATGTGGAGCTCAACTAAATTAGCAAAGTGGTTTAGGGTATCATAAAATCGGCCCCGTCCGACTTTAGGACTTTCTTTACTGGTTTTTAGTTATTTTCGAAAACAAATCATGGCCACCCTAATGTTCACACTATTGTCATAAAACATTTTTCATGCGGTTCTTTGGAGAATTTTAACCTTGGCAATTAATTTTAGTGTTTAGTTGTTTTTATTTCTTTGTTTTGAGCCGTCATTATTTTTTTT